ATAGAGGCAGCTGAAGGAAGGGGCAGCCATGGCAGCTGTGCTGCCCACCATGATCCCAGGAGATAATTTCTATAAAACTTTTATTACTGTATGCATATGTAGTGTGTTATAACAAAATCATTTTACCAATCACTGTTTCCACTCAATTTTTTCATTAACCTCTCTACAGCACACTCATTGCATGACTATTTTGAACTCCTTTATATATAAAAAACTGCAAAAATAAAAGCACCCCACACACAGAAATTCCAGCATATGGGCCTGAGTATGTTACTGCACTTTGTTCCATTTAAAGAAAACTCCTTTTATTTTTCTAGTTTAGGTTATAGGGGCACATTCTGATTTCACTTACTCCTGTATAAATCAAGAGCAACGTATCTTGTGTTTCATCATTATAAAACCAATATGTAAGTAAGTGGATTGAGAATTATGCCGAAGGAAGTGCTTGGGTATTTGCCCGAGTGTAACTGAGATCAGAACCTAGCTCTGAGGTTTCCATGAAAAAACATCATAAAGCAGGTCCTGAAGGATAACGCAGTGCTCCGACTACCTGGAAACATACTGGACTGGAGAGTTCATTGCTACTCATGGGGAGAGACAGCATACTCTTAGGAAGACTTTCCTTGTTACAATGTTCAGCTCTTCAAACCCAGCTGAATATATCTTCCCCTCCACGGTCACACCACATCATACCATTGTTTGTTTTCTATACTTCAGGTGCTCATGTCAGTCGCTGATGTTACCATATAGAAATACTGGCAGAATTGCACCAGTGTTCAGAGACAACTGCACAAATGCACTTTAGAACGAATATAAGACTACAGAATTGGGTCCACGCTTCGTTAAACTGGCTATAACCTGATCATTATCTCATCCTATATTAGACCATTTGGAGCTCCATTATGTCAGTGCTATTTTTAAAAACTGATTCCCCTAAATATATTCCCAGGCATAGGATCTACTGGAGGCTTTTTATTTCACTATCCATAAAGCAAAGTGCACTTCTCAAGCTCAGACCCCCAGCTGCTGTAAATCAATTGACATGAAAGCATGGGTGAGGATGTCATCAGCACTGGAGTTCAACTTGCAACATAGATCATTCATACTACCTTGACTTATTTACTCATTTCCTGATTAAAAGGTATCTATGGAGATATTACTAGAGGAAATGGACAGTAATACCTTATAGTAACTCTGTATTCAGAGCAGTAAAACTGATGTACCTTTAAAGCAACACAGACATTAAGTGCCTATTAATAAATGAGAGTATGTTTTAAATATCCTTCTCTCCCCTTCTCCCCCCCTCTCCCCCTCCAGGTTGGGAGCATGCTCAAGACTCCTAAATTACCCATCTGGCTGTGCAAGATCAATGGAACATACAGTGTTCTTTTCAGCACAAACAGGCTGCTGTTATCTGACTGGAAAATGGAACACATCTTTGACCTTTACTTATATAATGGGCAGCCATCACAGAAAACAACGATGCATCTAACAATAGGTGGGCATTTAAGCTTATCAAAGGAGGGTGTTTAAATGTGTGTCTCTGTCAGTGTTTAATATTAATGTGTTCATGTAGTCTAGGGAAGATACAGCAAACAACAGTGCATAAGAGAAGGCCCAGATCAAAAAGCTGATTTTAAGAAACATAATCAGTTGGGTGGGGATAATGTTCCTGAACAGAAGTTCTACTATTGGAGAAATGTCTAAAAATATTGTCAATGGAATTGATCGTTTTTGAATCAGTACAATACATGACTATCAAGAATCCTCCAAGATGCTGAGCATCCTTGATACCCACCAATATTAAAAAAAAATTGAGAGCACAGCACCATGAAGAACTGGGACCATGTTATTATTATTACATGTACTACAGTAGTGCCTTGAGGCTCCAATCAAGATCAGGGTCTTACTGTACCAAGTGCTATAGATACACGCAGTGTGAGACAGCCTCAGGCATACAGAGTTCAAGTTTCAATAGACCAGGGTGGAAGAGAGGAAGTATTATTATCCACATTTACAGATGGGAAACTGAGGCACAGAGAGATGAAATGATTTGGCCACGGTTAATGGCAGAGCTAGGAATTGAACCCATATCTCCTGAATCTCATTCCATGGACTTAATCATGAAAGTGTCCTACCACAATGTAACAATGCCACAGATAAAATCCATGATGTTGCAGTCCATGGGCAACATCCTACATTTGTGTCTAATAATAGGTATAGTAAGGCAGGAGAGCACAGTACTACAATTACCAGTCTGCTGCTACTCTGCTGCACTGTAGTCCCCTGAGGCCAAGCCTTTTGGGTTATAGCAGTTTAATGGAGCTGGAACCTGGATCTGCAGGAGGTGGCTCAGTGACTGAATCCTAGAATTGTGATTGAAGGATTATACTTCATTCCATGCACCATGTTGTAATCCCACCACCCTGTGCCCCTCACTGCTATATAAAAGCCACTATGGAAAGTGATGCCTGCTCTGTTTTAATAAACTCTATATCCTGAGTGTTGCATGCTGCTGCAGTGCAGGCTTTGCTTTATTTTCAGTAAGAGTTTTCCAAACACAGCTAATGGTTGGCACAATAACCCATGGGAGAGCAAGACTTCATTCTGAACCATTTCACTGAGTTTGTAAGCAAGTAATAGCGACTGATGGGAAGGGCTTTTCCACCCTGTTTATGATCAAGGGGAAGGATTGAGAGCCTAAGGGCCTTTAACATAGCAGGTCTTAAATTGACACCCAGAGGTCATATTGTCAGCTAGGGTCAGATTTTTAGGGTCAGAGGTTCTCATTCATTTTTATACCAAGAGTAAACGTTGCATGTCCAAGTGCCTGGCTTCCTGAAATTCTAACCCCCAAACAGAATGTTCAGAATAGCTGCCTCTGAAATTACAAACTCTTGGAAAGCAAGCAGTGCCAACCAGGATCATTTCAAACTGCATATTGCCATGAGTCTAGCGGGCCATCTGCTAGAGCTGCACTTGCCTAACAGTTCTAGGCCAGCACTGCATGTAGAAGAGCAGGATATTACTACATGGCCCCATTGGGCTTCTGATACAGAATTTTAAAATCTGATCAGTGCTTGAAGGGAGCAGTCAATGGAACTGTAGCAATGAGACGCATGTGGCTGGGAGGTTTTCACTGAATCTGGAGCATTGCTCTTTCAGACACGCATTCTCATCATTGGGAGAAGCATCACTGGGAAGAAAGTGATCCAGAAAAGAGATTTCCTTCTGTGGAGATGGCCATCAGAACTAAGTGGGAAGGGGCAGCCATCAGCTGGAATGGGGCTCTCTCATTCTTCTGACGAGACTGCATGCATGTGGCATCCGCTGCCGCGACGGGCGCTGTCAAGTACTGACGTCCACTGACGAAGAAAACGCTTTGTTACCATTAGAACAATCTTTAGCCTCTTAACAGGATTCGCATCTTAGACTGACATTATGTCTACTGTGAATCACTTTGCATTTGGTTATGAATTATCATTCACAAGACTGGAGAATTCATTATGAAACTGTTTCAGACTATACAAGAATTCTAGGAGGGGTGTCATTTGTGATGCACACACACACACTCATCACTACTGCAGGCTGAAAAAAGGGTAAGGCAAAAGGGGAGCATGGCCTAGCTAGGGGCACGGCCTCAGAGAGGAGGGGAAGAGTAGAGGGTGGGGCCCCATGGCAAGGGCAGGCTACTAGGCACCCAAACACACACACTAGAAGAGGCTGGTGCCACCCCTGAGCCACTGGCAGATGCGGAGCAGTGCCACAGGACATCTGAGACAAACTCTGTCCTGGCGTTATTCAGCCCAAGACATGGACTTGAACTCTGCCTTCCAGGACTGTCTTACTCAAGTCAGACACCCTATTCATATATTGTATGCAGCAACTTAATCTGTAAGCAGAGTCTCTACCACTTGGGTAATTAAAAAGTTTAACTATTTCTAAGGAATCTCTATTTCTGGAACAACAAAACCCTGACAACTAACCAAGTTCTCCCATAATAGGTATGGAGGAAATAGAAGCTGGTAGTCCTCGCCAAATGAAACTATAACAGGAAATTAATTTCTGCTGTAAGTTAATTTTAATTATGAACACTTGAATTTCCCCATCATTACAAGATTTGGACTTTCCTGACAAAACATTATGCATATGACAATTTCTTTATAATTTTGGTGAAATATAGAAATGAGACACTTTCCCCTTAATAGCAGTGGGTCTGAACCCCAGACAGTTAGCAGCAGTCCCTTAGCTCTCTGCCTCAGAAGGTGCAGCTCACAGCACTGAAGGGTTAGTTTCATTCAACCCTTTTGAAAACTACATTTTCATTTGGAGACAGGAATATGTCAACATGTCAGTGGTAGGGCTGTGCTATACAACTGGTGACTGATTCCTGCCTCTGATACCCAGACACTGACAAACCAGAAACCAGAGTATTCTGCATTTTACAGTACACTTTCTCTCAGTTTTCTTGTCATCCTTTATGTCTTCTTCTGGGTACAACACACAGAAATATTCTACTTATATATATAAGCATGTAGATATTATATAATGTGACCTAGCTGAAAATGTAAAAGTAAAAAGTCATATGATATTAACTGTTCAATGAAACAAGATATTGCTCGGATCAGAATGGTGCCCTTTGATTGTGTGCTCAGACAGTACAGTATAAAGGTGAAAGAACTTTGCATTACTGAGAATAATGTGCATCTATTGAACACAAATAAACTATTATGAATTAAACATTGTTACCAATAAACAATAATACCCTAAAACACCTGCTCTAAATAATATTTACTGCAAGCAATTTTATTTAAGCTCTCCACAAGGTGGTGCTCCTACAGCTATTGATTTTCCCTTCACTTCAGGAAAAAAATGTACAAAAACTCACACATGGGAATCTGAGTACTTTGCCAAAAGCAATATTCAACTATTTGTCAAGTGAATTCAATGATTTTAGTGACCATGGGACTGATAATGTGGGCAAGCTCTGTGCAATATTCCCTGTAAACTCGGGCAATGCTTATGACTTGTGATCTGCAAACAACTCTCCACTTCCATTTTGAACCTGGAGCACCTTCCCAAACACTGCTCCTCCAGCCACCCCTTTCCCCTCATTCAAATCCCCTGACCCTTTATCCACCCCCCCTCACCTCCGCCTACCTCTTCTCTGCTGTCTTGCCTAAAAGTAATAAGAAAGGGGGAAAGGGGAACAGAAAAAACAAGATGTGCGCACGACTCACTGAGCTGAGAAACCACATGATCTCACTGTTTCCCTTTTCTTTCCTCTCCCCTTCCTCTCCCCTCCCCACACCTTTGTATCTGTTTATATCCCCCTTGTTGCATCATGTCTAATCTAGGCTGGACTCGCCTCTGAGCAGGGGCTGTGTCTTCATTCATTTCTCTGGGGTGGCAGCAATTTTTGGAAGCTCTAAAAATAACTAATCAACCACACAAGATATGTTGAGAGGAATGGCTATTAGCTAAGCCTGCTTGGAAAAACAGATGTGGAGATTAAACAGCTCTGACTGCTCAGAGAAATTCTGCATTCAAAAGTTTAATCACAATTAAAATAACTGTGACTTTCTACCTTTAGCACAGAAATTTCTTTTAAACCCCCCTTCCCTCCCGCCCCCACCCGAACCTGAAACAAGCTAAGGCTCCAGACCTGTTAAGACTCACACACCTGCTTAACTTTACCCAGGAGTAGTCTAGGCAGCCTGTTCTTCCAGTTTTAGAACTGCTTTGTTATCAGGAGAGCAATCCTGCCAACAAAGCAGCATTCACACATGCACTTGCCCCAGCAAAACTTTTGTCTTGGCGGGGAAGGGTGTTAAGCATCCATGAAGGACAAAAAAACATGAATGACAAAAATTGTGTCCATCAATTAGCTTCAACAAACTGGAAATAGAAAAACTATTGTATTAGAAAAGATTTGTTCTAGTAGCTGAAAAACAATGATGTTACAGAAGCTTCCGGGGGTAGCGGAGTTAGTCTATACAGGATAAACTTAAAAAACCAACAAATAGTCCGGTAGCACTTTATAGACTAATAAAACATGTAGATGGTATCATGAGCTTTCATGGGCACAGCCTACTTCTTCAGATGACCACCATCTACATGTTTTGTTAGTCTTTAAAGTGCTACCAGACTATTTGTTGGTTTTTTAAGTTTATCCTGTACAGACTAACTCCTCTGGACTATTTGTTGTTTTTTTAAGTTTAATGATGTTACAGTGTATTATGGAAATAATAACAAGTACTACAAGTGCTAGAGTGCATCCAGTGTACTGCGTAGGGCCCCATAAATCCTAAGGAAATCCCTGTGAAGATTATTATGAACTGGCTTTCAAGAACTGGATGTGAATTCAGCTTTCTGACTACCTATGGTTCATGGCACAGCCTAGTCCAGTGGTGGGCAACCTGCGGCCCGCAGGTCAAATGCAGCCCATCGGGGTTCTATGTGTGGCCCGCCAGATATTTTGTTTACCATTGCCCATATGCAGGTTTCCCACATTCCACTAGTTTCTGGCTGCATAGTTTTTCTTCCTACTGATAGTACTCAAGTGACACACATGTAAAGCAAAGGCCCATAAAGTGACGTGTATGCTGAATGTGGATAACATTAACTGTGAGAGCTGTGCGTTCCCTCTGCAGCCAAAGAGCTGCTATGGTTCAGTCAGCACACCCTGCAAATCCTAAATACACAAGCGCTGTTAGCAGAACTACCCTATCCCGGGAAACTGTCTTGGTTACAACACTCTTGTGGACCACTGTGATGAAAGAGGGTCACTAACCCAGGTTATTCATTGCTGGTGCAGTCAGAGCCCAGTACAACACAGATGGGTATTTCCCTGACTGTTCTTTATAAATTCTGTTACATAATAGCAGCTAGCCACCTCACAAATTGCACTGCTAGGCGATACTGCAAGGATTAAGTAGGTGATCTCACTTGGGGTGAAATCCTGCCTCACTGAGAATAGAAGTTTTGCTGTTAGCTTCAGTTGGGACCAGGATTTTACCCCTAGAATTCAATACAATGCTTTTGTAACAACATCTTACACAAGCTGAAGGTGAGGAAACAGTATCCAGAAAAGTGCAGGACTGAAAGTCAGGAAATCTGGGTTTCCATTTCTATCACAGACTTGCTCCTGGATATTTGGCATCTCCATGCCATCTGTAACATGGAAGGGGGAGTAACAGGTCTGTTTCTAGAGGGTAATGTTTGCCAGGAATGTTTACATCCTTGGTCAGGAAGCACTAAGTGTGCAAAGCACTTTGTACAGGATACGAAAACTTGTAACTTCCCACAGGCAATTCTTTTCCAATGCCCTTCCTCACACACCTACACCCACACCACATTAACTTACCACACTATTTCTCAAAAAAAGAGTAAATGCTGCCATCTCCTCAGGCATCTTGAAAAATAAACAATCTTTATCAGAGGCTAGAGGAGAGAATGAAGCAGACCGAATATCTTCACATATCACCAAGCCACGCAATTTCAATATCCAAGTTACCCAGAAATTGGGAATTAAAAAGTAATTGAGAAAACAAGAATGTCACCATCCAACTTTTCCTAAGATGTGTGGCCGTGCAGCCATGAGGTTCCCCATTAAGCCCCATACAGGGACTCAAGGCTGCAGTGGGGAAAGATTTCTCCTCCAAGTCCTGAAGCTGCCAGGCCCAGTGATGGTGATCTGCCATGTCCAGTGCAATGGAACTCCTCCCTTCCAGCCCTCATATGGAGCTGCTGTGGCTGGTGAAGGGGACCCTCCCCCCACCTCCCATGGGCCCAGGCAAGGAGTTGCCACAGCTGATGGAGGAGAGTCCCTCCCCACAGGCCTCAGCACAGCACTGCTGCGGCTGTGGGAAAGGGATCTGGCCTCACTAGCCCCAGCAAGCAGCTGCCTAGGTAAACCCAACCTCCTGCCCCATCTTGAATCTCTCCCTGTCCTGAGCACCCTGCTGCACCTCCAAGCCCTAGCCCTCAGCCTGTGCCCCTCCTGTATACCAACCCCCAGCCCCTTCTTAAACCTGGAGCCCTCCTCCTGCATTCCAACTCCCCCAACCCCAAAGCCTGCATTCCCAGTCAGAGCCCTTACATCCAAACCCTGTTTTTAAATTAATATCTATTAATGGATTTGCACAAAACCATACTCTAGTGCAGAAGTGGGGAACCTCAGGCCCAGAGGCCGCTTGCCTGGAACTGGCCCCTCAAGGCTCTAGGCCTCCCCCCAGCATTGGGGAGTCTGCACTGTCACACCAGCCCCCCTGCTGCCCACCACAGGGCTGGAGTACACAAAATCTTCTAGGGTGGCCCCTTCCCACGTTCTGATTTGTGAAGGGAATGTGGGAAGCGTCTTTCTCCTTCTCAATTGGGGACCACATCAGTGAGAGGGAGGCCCACGACTGATTTTTCTGTGGGTGAGTGGCCCCCCAACCCAAAAAAGGTTCCCCACCCCTGCTCTAGTGTCACAAACACCCATATTGTTCCACTCTAGTTGTAGGCGGGTTAATTCTCTCTGTCTCTTTCTCATACCACAGCACGAATAATAAACCACAAAAAATAACAAGGGAACATTCACTTTGTGAAACTACACTGACTTCCGTGGGGTAGCATAAACAGAGCTTGGCTGAAAGGGTCTAACTCAAATCTCCAGGGCCAAGCTCTCACACCAGTTACACCACAGTAACTCTGCAATGACCCCACTAATTTGAATAGCGCTCACATGTAAATGAGAGCAGAATTTGTCCCACAAAAGCAAGGACCAGGAG